ACAGACAGTTGTTAGCTGCCATGTGGGTGCTGGGAATCGAACCCAGGTCTTCTGCAAGAACAGTGTTCTTAACCGCTGAGCCATCTCTCCAGCCCCAGCCTCACCCCCGTTTTTCTTTTTTTAAGTGAAATAAACTTTCTGTGTCTGCTCTTCAATGACACTTTAATAAAGAGTTCATCTCTTCTTCCTCATCCCAAAGGAACTGATTTGCATGCAACACAGAGAGAGAGAGAGAGAGAGAGAGAGAGAGAGAACTAAGTACTGCTGATTTCAGAAAAGATTCTGAAGAAAGGGTGAAGTTATACTACACAGCTTGGCATCATTTACTGTTACTATAATGAAATTCCTGATGCAGATAACTTTTGGAGAAAAAAAAAGTTTATTTTAAGCCAATAGTTTTGAAGTCCAGGTCAAGTGGCTCCACCAGTCCTGTGTGGTATTATAGTTACAGCATGCAGAACAGGAAGAGGTCATATCACCAGGTAGGACCAGAGAGCAACTCAGCATGCAGTCTTCCTAACTACGGCCTCTCAGAACAATCTCAGTCTCCTAGGAGCATCACCCAACTCCCTCCTGAGGGTACACCTCCAGTAACCTCCACAAGGCCCCACCTCAGCCTCCCCATACTAGGAACCAGGCTCCCAAAACATGAACCCTTGACAGGCAAACATAAACCACACCCAATGGTAGCAGCCACAGGCCATGAAACATGCCCTTCAATCCCAGCTTCTGTAGCACTCCAGGTTACCCCTCCCTCCCACAGCCAGCTATGTTCTGTCCCCTCCCTTAAAATCCCCCTTCTTCTCAGAACCTGAAGGAGCCTTAAGCAGCACAGGGACGCCTCACCCTACCCAGCCTCATCCTCATATTCACATTTGTGAAGAAGAATGACTCAGAAGAAAGCTGCCTCAATTTCTAGGACTCTATGTCCTTAGAAGGGCAGCCTGAGCTTACAAACAACAGCAAAGAAAGCCCTCTCCCCCCAGTCCCTGTTTCTAAGCAGTGAATCTGAATTTGTTTCTAGGCAGAAAATTTCTAAGCAGAATTTGGTTTCCCAGAATGGAAGTGCCAGGTCAGATGGCACAAGAGGCCCTAGACAGCAGCTCGACCCTGCCCCTTAGGCCCCTCAGACTCTCCTCCCTCAGCACAGGGTATCCACCCCTTGAGACAGCCAAAGCTGGGCAGTACCAACACCACAGGGCTGAGAACAGGGAGGCCTCAGGGACCTCTCCTATGGGACAGACGCAGGTGGGAGGCTCTGCTGCTCCATCACCAGCACCACTCCAGGCTGTCTACAAAGTCCACTCCCCTGCTGACCACACACAGCCAGCTGGGAGCCAGGCCACTCCTGGTCCTCGTGGCCTTATAGTACAGGCCCAAGGGACAGATTATAGGCCTCTTTAAAAAGCACAGGGGTGGGGGAGGCATTTCTGAAAACACTCCCAGTTTCAGAAAACACACAAGAGATTTAACTCACAAATATCAAGCGTTTCTGCATTTTAGAAAATTCTGTCTCAAAAATCCAAAGAGAAATGACAGAGTAAAAAGGTTTGTCACAAAGAATATTTTTCTCTGATATTAAAGAGTTTCTAGAAATCGATAAGAGAAGACGGTTCTCGAAACAAAAAGACAGGCAGAGGAATAAACAGTGGCCCTTCAGCATATGCAAAGCGCTTCGCCTGATCCATACACAGAGATGAATCTTTAAACCTCCTCTGAGATGCTATGTCCTCACACCAAACAGAAGTTTGAACACAGTGAGCCAGGCTGAGGGATGAGAGAATTAATTGGTACCAGCCCTGTGTAGGGCAGGTTGTATTGTAAAAGCACACTGCTCTTGGGGCTGGAGAGATGGCTCAGCGGTTAATAATACTGACTGCTTTTGCAGAGGACCCTGGTTCAATTCCAAGTACCCATATGGCAGCTAACAACTGTCCATAGCCCCAGTTCCAGGGGACTCCAATGCCCTCTTCTGACCTCCATGGGCATTGCATGACACAGGTGCACTTATATACATGCAGGTAATATACTCATACACATAAAATGTAAATAATGAAGTATCTTTTTTAAAAAACACACAGCTCTTGACAAAGTGACCCTGTTCAGGTGAATTTCTTTGCAGATGATAGCCCACATGTAAAATCAATTTCTGCAAGTTTATATGAAAAGATTTGAAATAACGACAATGACCACTAATGAAGTTTCTGAAAAATAACAGCAGATCCATGCAGCAGAGTATTAGGCAGAAAAAGGAGGAATAAGATATTTTGATGTTGGTGAGTGCAAAGAGACTGGAGGTTGGGAAAACATAAGAAGCTAAGAATCTTAAGTGACTATTGGGGGTGCTAAGGACCACAGTGAGGGAGTCAGATCCCTCTCAGTTCAGTGTGACTTTAGACTTTCTAGTTTGAAAATCACACTTGATGGGAAGTAAGGGGAAGAGGAGGGGGAAGGAGCGATGGCACAGTCAAGCTCCTTACTGGGTAGGGGAAGTGAGTAGCAGGTTATGTAACCCCAAACTACAATTAAAGCAAAACTCCAATAAGCCACTGCATCTGGGGGTGAGCTGACTCCTGAACGTTCTGATTGTAAGGGAACAGCAGATGCTCACACCCACCTCCAATGTTGCCAGGGAAGTGGTCACCCTGCTGGATGGCAGAGGGACCTTGAGCAAGCGGAAAGAGGCCAAACCTCAGGGCTGGCCCAGCTGGGACAGGCAGAGGTAGAGAGGCTCCTGGCAAGTGTTTGATCTTTGGCTCTGCCAATCATAGGCCCTGTCACCCAAGTACCCTTGCCAAACACCCCCCAGGGACACACCTGTGTGTGAGGCTCTCCTGATTTTCCCAAAGTAATCTGCAAACCCACTCTTCAAACTAGGGACAAACCAGTTCCACCCATAGTTAGAAAATGCTACTGGGCCATATCTAACCCATTTGAGGTCTTTCATTACAAGATTTTGACCAAGGCAGAGGAGACTTAAGAGTCCAAAACTATGCAAATGTATTGCAGATTTTGTGGGGAAGGGGATGCACAGCTTTCTTCAGATTGTCACAAGAATCTTTGATCATGGGAGTAACTTCCAGAACTGCAAAGTTGTTAGGAATGCCCAAACACTGCCCTACCTCTGCCAATTATACAAAATGGGTCACTGAGGCTCATGGAGGGACAAGGACAGAGTCTGGACTGGAACCCGTGTAGCTCGCTTCAGGGGTCCAAGGCTCTTTCCCACTGCACCTATCTGAACTCACCTGTCAGGTCCTGTGAGGGGTGATGGTAGACCAGTGCCCGGAAGTTGGTGGTGAAGCCGGGCCTCCTGCTCATGGCTCTGGCCAAGTTCCTGGAACATGGAGCTTAGGCCTGCCACTGTGCCCTTCTGGATGGCACGGAGTGAGTGGCGACGGTACTCATCCCGGGCCCGCTGGGCTCTGCGACTCCTCTCCTCATCAGCTGCCTTGGATCTGCGCACTGGAAAATGAGAAACAGAACATGGGTCTTCACCCACAGTCCAGGGTTGCAGAATATCCACCAGGCTGTGAGCTCCACGGGGGCAGGTTCCTGGGTCTGCTCATGGTTGGACTCTAGTACCTACAACAGGATTGGCAGGCAGGACACACTTCTAGGCAGTGCAAGCATCCCAGGGCCTGGGAAGATGACTTCCTGGGTAAAGTACTTGCCGTACAAGCTTCAAGAACGGGGCTTGGATCCTCAGCACCCATATAAAAACTGGGCACGGTGGCATGTACCTGAAATCCAGCACCGGGGAGGCAGACACAGTAGGATCCCTGGGGTTCACTCACCAGCCAGTCTAGCTGAATCAGTGAGCTCCAGGTTCAGTGAGAGATCCTGTATCAAAAAATCAGGTGGGGAGTGATCGAGGAAGGCATCCAGTGTCAGCCTCTGGCTTCTGTATGCACACATGCACACATGTGTACACACACACATATGAAAATATACAAACATAAATATAAATAAAATCAAAAGGCACCCAGTGGTTTGGCTTTGCACTCCAAGTTGGAGACAGAGAAGACACGGAGCAATTGCTCCTTTTCAGCACTCTGACCAAGCTGGCAAAAAAGGACACTAAATACCACAAACCATAATGAAAGGTCATGGGCATCATTTGAAAAAAAGAACCAGGGGCTGGAGAGATGGCTCAGTGGTTAAGAGTACTGACTGCTCTTGCAGAGGACCCAAATTCGATTCCCAGCACCCATATGGCTGCTACCAACTGTCCTTAACTCCAGTTCCAGAGCTGGAGAGATGGCTCAGTGGTTAAGACTACTGACTGCTCTTACAGAGGACCCAAATTTGATTCCCAGCACCCATATGGCTGCTACCAACTGTCCTTAACTCCAGTTCCAGGAGAATCCGAAGCCCTCTTCTGACCTTTGTGGCATTGTACAACACAGGTGCACTCACATACACGCAGGCAATACACTCATACACATAAAATAAAAATAATAAATAAATAAATAATAAAAAAGAAAAACAGAACCAATAACCAATAAGTTATTAGGAGAGTTCTGGGTCAGCAGTACTCATGAAGCACAGGGAGCCAGGGCCACCGAAGGAGAATCATCCTGCAACCGGGCTGTAGCAGAGGTGATCTGTTCCCACCTTATCTCATCCTGAAATGTGGCCACTGGTGTGTGTTAGGATGCAGGGCCTTTAAGAGAGACTTGAGGCTCTCTAGCGAGGCCAGATTGATTTTCATAGGAATGGATCAGTTCTTAGGAAGCAGATGGTTTAAAACAGATCAGCTCCTTTGACCCCTCCCTGCCTCCTCTTGCTCCTAGTCTTCCAGAACCATGACACAAAATAGTCCCGCTTTCCTTATGAATTACCTAGTCCCAAGTGTTCTGTTATAGCCAAAGAAAATGAGCTAAGATGGTGTGGAAAGATCAAGAGGAGACTGCCAGGGAAAGGGGGAGGGAGCCACTTCCAGGAAGAAATGCCAGGTTTCAGGGACCTGATGACTCATCTGTAGGTCTAGATGGTAAGACCTCCACAAAACCTCCTTGCACTGCGAGCAGAGGATCAGACAAGGTGGGAGACTGCCAGGGAAGGGGGGGGAGCCACTTCCAGGAAGAAACGCCAGGTTTCAGGGACCTGATGACTCATCTGTAGGTCTACAGAGTAAGACCTCCACAAAACCTCCTTGCACTGCGAGCAGAGGATCAGACAAGGTCAGGATGCCCAGACCAGCTTCATGGTCACTACACTGCAAATTAAATACTTGAAGTTTCTACCCCACAAGGACGAGAGACTTTGGAGAGTTTACAGCCCCCGAGGGAAATACAGAGAGAGGTTTTGCTCTTGATCCTCTATTCGGCACAGAACAATATTTCATTTCTCTTAGTTTTAGAACGAAGTTTTCCTTCCCTGGATGATTGAGATAGTACCATCCTTGATCTCCGGGCTGCCATACTGCCCCGTTATTCCAAAGTCACATTCCTAGTGACACTAAGAGCTCTCACTCCGTTCTCTAACTCTCCCTTGACAGAATCCTGTGAGCAGCTACACAGCTCCAAAGATGCAAAAGGTGTTAGAAGAGAAAGGTTGTTTTACTATTTTCTATAACACATCGGCCACGTGTGGGGATACACTCCGATAACCCCAGCAGAGCTACACAGCTCCAGAGATGCAAAAGGTGTTAGAAGAGAAAGGTTGTTTTACTACTTTCTATAACACATCGGCCACGTGTGGGGATACACTCCGATAACCCCAGCACTCTGGAGCCTGGGCAGGAGGATTATGAGTTTCAGGACAGCCTGGACTACATAGTGAGACCCTGCTTCAAAGAAACCTGAATGAATGAATGAATGAATGAATGAATGAATGAATGAATGACATATACAGGCACAGACTACATAGTGAGACCCTGCTTCAAAAAAACCTGAATGAATGAATGAATGAATGAATGAATGAATGAATGACATATACAGGCACATGTCTCTTTAGCTGTCTGCTTGGTCCCAGCTCTATGTGGTAAGCCACACTGCACAACTCCAGAAGCTCAAGTTCACCCATGGTTCTTCCAGATACGTAGAGTTTTAACAGTTTTCTGATACATGGCCGTGGTGCATCTTGAGGAGTGGGTTTCTGATTTTTTATGAGGCTGGTGCTAAGGCATGTGGATATAGCCATGTCTTGCCCTCAGAGAGCTCACTGTCTAGTAGGAGAAACACGCAGTAAACAGTGGAGCTGTGGTGGGGTGTGCACTGGGCCCAGAGATGAAATGGGACACTTCATCCACACAAGGATAGCTTCTGGAGGAGGGAGGTCTAAACTGGGCCTGGTAGACACATGGGATTCAACCACCAGTGGCCAAAGGGAGGGCATTGTGAGCAGAGGGAGCTCAGAGGTCAGAGAGAGCAGGGGTACCTTTTGGAACAGTGCAGCATTCTGGAGGGAGGCATGTAAGGCTTAAGTAACAGCAAGGTCGCTCAGAAAACCAGTAACTCCTGACTGATGTGTCCTAATGCTTTACCGGAGGATGACTATAAGCCATGGGAAAGCAAGGTGCTATCTGCACTCTAAAGAGACTGCTTGAGCTGCAGGGCTGGGAGCAAACCTTACAAGAATGAGAATGAAGGCATGGAAAACAGGATGTCACTGAGCAAGAGGGAGACTGTCTGGAGCAACATCATAGGTATAACTAAGTCAGTGTTCTAGTTTGTTCTTCATTGCTGTGACAAAACACTCTGACCAATACCAACTTGGGGAGGAAAGGGTTTATTCAGCTTACATCTCCCAGGTCGCAGTTCATCAGGGAGCCCAAGGTAGGAACTCAGGGCCGGAACCTGGAAGCAGGAGCTGGAGCACAGGCCACGGAGGAATGGGGCTTACTGGCTTGCTCCCTTGGCCCCTGCTCAGCTTGTGCTCTTATACAACACAGGCCCACCTGCCCAGGGGTGGCACTACCCACAGTGGGCTGGGCCCTCCCACATCACTCAACAATCAAAAAAAAATGCCCCACAGACAGGGCCACAAGCCAGTACAATGGAGGCAATTCCCCAATTGAGGCTCCCTCAACCCAGGTGTGTCAAGTTGACACTAAAGCTATCCAGCAGTCAGTTTTTAGAGTGGGAATGAGCAGAGTAGAGAGACCAGAGTCAAGTTTCTACCATTTTTAAAAGGATATTTGTGTGTGTGTGTGTGTCTGTATATGTGTGTGTGTCTCTGTGTGTCTATATATGTGTGTCTGTGTCTATATGTCTGTGTCTGTGTCTGTGTCTGTGTGTCTGTGTGTCTCTGTGTGTCTGTGTGTCTCTGTGTGTCTGTGTGTCTGTGTGTCTCTGTGTGTCTGTATATGTGTGTGTGTCTGTGTCTCTATATGTCTGTGTCGGTGTGTGTGTATCTGTGTGTCTGTGTGTGTGTGTCTGTGTGTGTCTGTGTGTCTCTGTGTGTCTTGTGTGTGTCTGTGTATGTGTGTGTGTCTGTGTGTCTATATGTCTGTGTCGGTGTGTGTATCTGTGTGTCTGTGTGTGTGTGTCTGTGTGTGTCTGTGTGCGTGTCTGTGTGTCTCTGTGTGTGTATGTCTGTGTGTCTGTATATGTGTGTGTGTGTCTGTGTGTCTATATGTCTGTGTCGGTGTGTGTGTATCTGTGTCTGTGTGTGTCTGTGTCTATGTGTCTGTATATGTGTCTGTGTCTGTCTGTGTGTGTGTGTGTGTGTGTGTGTGTCCCCAAAGCCAGAGGACAAGTCTTGGGAGTTGGTTCTCTCCTTCCACCATGTGGTCTGTGTGTCTGTATATGTGTGTGTGTGTGTGTCTATATGTCTGTGTCAGTGTGTGTGTATCTGTGTGTCTGTGTGTGTCTGTGTTTGTGTGTCTGTATATGTGTCTGTGTCTGTGTGTGTGTGTGTGTGTGTGTGTGTCCTCAAAGCCAGAGGACAAGTCTTGGGAGTTGGTTCTCTCCTTCCACCATGTGGGTTGAGTGACAGTGGCAGCTCTTTTTATTTTTTTATTTTTATTGAGTCAAGAATTTTAATCATATTCCGACGTCCTCTCCCATCTCACCCTCACCTTTCAACCACCCCACCCTCCCCCACTTCATGCCCTCTATTAGCACATGAAGAACCCCATCCATCTAGAGAAGTAATGAAACAGATGGAGGAAGAACTGGGCTAAGGGTTAGTCCTGTGGAGGAGGGGGTAGCTGTGGGGATCCAGGAAGGTCTGTCCATCCGGGAGGTACTGAATTCTGGAAGAGCATCTGCTACTGCCCCCCACGGAACCTCTCTCTGGTGAACGCTCCATAGTTCCTAAAAGTACAGCTCCCTGTCCAAGAACAGTCAGCATCTGCCCTACGGCATTCACATGATTGCCTCCATCCTGCACGGCAATAAATGTCTCAGAGCAACATGAATTTGCAGTGAGTGGCTGAGTGTCACTGAAAAGTGATCCTAATAGAAAGAAGAACACCAAGAAATGCTTAAACTCAATGTGTGTGCCTAGCATGTGTA